CCGGATACTATCGTATCATCCGCCTCCAACAATGTACCACGTCCCCGGGCTACCGACATCCACCAGCGGCCTTCGTGAAAATTAGAACGCATGGCATCGTCCCAACCAGCTAGAAGTTTTATTTAGCATCAACATCTCGGAAGCTCTCGGCTGGCTTGATGCTTGATCGTGAGCACGCAGGCGCCTTCCACGGAATCGCCGCGCCATGTGGTCCCCCACGTTTCCGCCAAACCTGGTTGCGCAATGCTTCCTCCACAGACCACGACGACCGTTCAACGCTTGAACTCGCTGCCCAACTTCTCCTCCTTCTCCTCTTCTTCTCCTCCTCTTTCTTCTTCTCCTCCTCCTTGTCGCGAGCCATCAACGTCGGATCAAGCGTTTTTCAAGCCCTGAGCATTTTTACAAAGATTTTGAGAACATGTTTCTTATATGGGGGAGAGGGGAGAGTTTTTTTCTTATTATAGAGAAATTTTCAATCGAGTATTTATAAATTATTGATATTTAGTAAAGTGATCGAAAAATGTTTTTTTTTTTTAATGAAAGGTTACGAAATTAAGGAGATTAATTAATTTTTAGTATCAGAATGTGTTAAAAAATAAATCGTAAATGATAGAGATTATGAAATTTTGTTTTTTGTAAAAAATTAGAAAATTTCTAAAGTGGTGCCCCCTTCTCTCGATGAGGCTTAAGCACACGTTTGTTTTACTCGTTGGGTAATCCAGCATTACCACATCACTCCATGAACTTTGTAATATCGTGATATAGAAAGTATCTAATTTACAGTTAGGTCAGATGATGCAGTTTTTTAATCGATTCATTTGACGAAATCGAACGACGAAAAATGTATCGAATCGATGATTTTATTGTATGAAATTATACAACGTGAAATAATTGATTTAGCAATTGATAGTATAAATCTGTATAACTGTATATGAAAATGAAATATATCGATTATTTATCAATTCGATAAAATAAATCGAATCAATCAAAAAAACTGTTCTGAACATCTTATGCTATCTACATGACTTCTTTCTTTTCCAGTTACAGACATTTTGCATATATTTTTCATATTTCATTTCGAAAATAATTATAAAGCATCAGAATTGTCTCTCATTGTCATTCATAGTTTTAATAATTGATGCTATAAAACTTGCTATAATAATTCCTTTGAATACAGGAGACTACATTTATATTCGTTTACAGCATATGTATACGCGTGTTTGATACGATGCATCATAGACAGAAGGCTTTAGCAAAATAAACCAAGTGGAGAAACGAGCCGAATGTGGCTCGGAGCAACCAATTAAGCATCCCTAGTTCAATCTATTCCTCGACCGATCGCCGAGCTTTTCGGATACAGTTCGAAAATAATGCCCGCTTGCTCGCCCACGACATCACTTACCTTCGCGAAGGTTGTCGCGATTTTCTTCTGGCATCGAGTCTCGTTGAATTAGCTCGACGCTGCGCCGTCTGGTATGCAACTTTTGGGAATCGTCCAGGTACTGAGAAAGTCTGATATTTCGATCGAGATCGATGTTTGATTTTATTAGTCATTTTTCTGGAAAGAAAGAATCAGAGGATTTATATTTCAACGTGTTTTTCGAGAACAGTTTTCTGTTTTTTGTATATTTTTTTGATCGAAACTGTTACTCATGCAAAATTCGAGAAAATCTACAATAGTTTTTAAGAAATATATTCAATGATGATGAATTCATGATATCGTCGAATGTAGCGGAATATAAAATTAAATTTGTAATGTATATTAACAGATATATTTGGGAAAAATCTATTTAAATATAAAATTTACTTCTTCGTTTCATTCTTTTATTTGATTATTAAATTGTGGAAAAACATTTTATATTTTTCTTTCTATTAAAAATAAAATTTTTTCAATTGTTCAATCTTAAAATTTTTCAATTTTCATCTTTACATACAAGATCTATAAGAATCGCAACAATTTTATGTTAATTAACTTTTTTTCTTTTTTTTTTTTTCATAAGAAAAACAGTTCAATTACAAAATTTTAATTATATTATACTTAAATGATAATAAAAAAATTAAATAAAAAGAAATTGCATAAGATGATCGATAAAATTGGAAATGATACTAAAATGTTACACCGAAGCCCTTTGATAAGTCTATTATGTACCATAGATGTGAATTTTCTACAATAGGATAGATAAAGAGAGAAAATAATGAAATAAGGACAAAGATAGAATAAAAATATTGAAATCAGCGCCATCTTCAGAGAGCCGCAAATGAAACTCAAATATAGACAAAGAGCAATAATAAGAGAAGGATAGAGTTAGTATAA